CTTCGGCTTGTTCAGGAGTTTGAGGGTCCCTAAGTCTTTGCATATTCTCAGTATTGGAAGCACTCCTAGCTACCGTTTAATCTTGGTTTTCATTTGCACAGGATTTTCTTTTCCTCGCTGTAACCTTGGCTCATTTGATTGCAATCTGGTCCACTGATGACGGAGATTTCTTTTTGCAAGGCATTCTGCTACCGTATGCTGTAAACAATAAACTACAGAAGAATTCAAAATTGATCGCTCCATTTCAGTATTGCTTTAATATTTAAGTTTACCTTTTAAAAGTTCAACCATAATTCTTCCGTTGCCATTTTAAATTAAAGTCAATTTGATGTAGGTAGGGCCTTACTTTCCGTACAAACATTTCATGGGTGACTTTCGCTGGATTTAGCAATTAATTTCAATTATTCCCATATTTATTTCCAAGTTATAAAAATTGTTATCGCACAAAAAATTCGTCGTAAAATAATTCGTGAAAGAAAAAGAAAATGGCTGAAAACAATCGCAGTAATGAAAAATTGGAAATCCTAAATTTCATAATTTCGGGTCTGGATCACGAAATGTTCTTAATTTGCTCACAGAGTCAACCTGATTCCAAAATGGTAAGATATGCTGTGCCTCTAGGAGTTAAAGTTGACAAAGAGTGACACAGTGACACTCACATTCATTTATATAGATATATGTTTGTTAATAAACACTGTATTTATTGTCATTTAAGTAGTGAGTAATTTTGAAACACACACTCTCTCTCTCCATATATATATATATATATATATATATATATATATATATATATATATATATCTCGATGTTAAATAAGTCTAATTGTAATAAATAATATGAATGTTTATATAGGTGGATATGTTAAGAAATGGACAAGGTCCGACAATTTATTTATTAAAGACATTTTTATGTTTAACGTTTTGTTTATAGATAAAGTATTTAAGCAAATGCTCTGTTTATGATAAACATTTTTAAATAAAATTTACCAAAGAAATGTCAATATTTTCTATGAAATTTTATTTAAAATATCCTGTCAAAAACGAATATTTGCTTAAATACTTGTATCTATAAATAACAACGTTAAACATAAAAATGTCTTTAATATATAGGTGGATATGTTTGCCGAATATAAATTAAATAAATTCTACAAAAAGACACACACACGCACAAAAAAAAAAGGAAAAAGAAAAAAGAAAAGAAGCAAGGGCTTACAGCACATATCACATTGAAGCACCGGTTCCGTACTATCACTAAAGTTAAGCAACGCCGAGCCTGTTCAATACTTAGATGTGTGACCACTTGGAAATACCGGACGCTGTAAGCTTGAATGTGCTAATGTCATTAAAGATATGTGTTACTAGCGTTAAAGATTTAGGACCTTATATAAACCAGACATTTTTCCCACTCCATCATATAATTATATATATATATATATATATATATAAGTTCAAAATCAACTACTAGCTTAAAATACAAAATAAACTGAGCGTTGATGATTGTGTTACCGCACGAGTAGCGTATTTTGATATTATTCCATTAATGATAATATATATATATATATATATATATATATATATATATACCGAGTGTAACAGCAAAACTGTCCAAATCGTGTATAAACAAATATTGACCAATTGTTAAATTAAGTTTTGAATCGTATCGTTGTATCTTAGAAACGATTAAAGATATCTGACTGGGATTTTCCGAGGTATTTATAACATTACTGGACGCTACTTTGAACAATAAGAATGTATGATCCCTCTTGCTGTTGTGACCTCCTGATCCAGTTTTCTTCTCTACTCTTCCCTGTTTATTTATATATATATATATATATATATATATATATATATATATATATATTATTTGGAATTGTGATTTGATCATTATAATATTTTTTTTTATTCTAGAGATTGCATATGTGTGTGGACATGTATGTACGCTAAATGGCGAAAACATTTACGCACGTACACCACAAGCATACGCATATACACACGCGCTTGCAAGACAAACCGCTCTTCTTTTATAATATATATTCTAACTAAGAGACATATATATATATATATATATATATATGTGTGTGTGTGCATATCAAGATTCTGGCCTATGTTCGTGCAATTACACACACCCTTTTTTTGAGCAATTTCCATTATCAAAAGTCATTTTCAAGAACGTTAATAATATTTTCCGTTAGCATCGACAAAAGTTTCGATTCATTTAGTCTTGGTACTTTAAAATGATTTAATCTTAATTTAAAACATTCTGTAATGAATATATATATATATATATATATATATATATATATATATATATATAGGAAGTAAAGTGTCGTTCCTTTATTTATGTGTGGTTGTGACAAGCCTTGGCTGTTTCCTTTGGTTAAATCATTCGGTGTGGTGGTTTTTAATAATGAAATCCGCGGTGTCGTTTTTCGGCAATCCGGGGTTGAATTTTTTACTGAAGCTGAGGTATATCTGTTTTATTGAATAATATACATATATTGTGTCCACATATTTTTATACTGATGCTTTTCAGTTGTCTCATTACTTTTTTTTATTTTTATTTTAAGATGAAATACCTCAAGGAAGGCGCCGTAGTTTGTCTTTTTTCTTTGTTTTTTTTTTTTAATCTAAGTAGTTTCGACCTACTCTAAGATCATCTTCAGGGGTAAATCACAAAGACAAAATATTGAAAATATTGTAACTGCGATAAAATCTGCATTTCGTTTTCAGATAGTTTTTTAATATCACGCAAACTCGCTCTGTTATATTAACCTTAGAATTTTGAAAATTTATCCGTTATATTTATGAAGTTTTTTACAAGCGTTTCAAATTTGACCCGGTATATATATATATATATAGATAGATAGATAGATAGATAGATAGATAGATAGATAGATATTAGCGGTCAATATATATATATATATATATATATATATATATATATATAAATATAAATTTTCAAGAGGATAGAATCCAGGAAGCGTTCAATGTACAAGACAGAGCAAGAATATAATATAAAAGGCTGAAACACTGATATTCCATGGCTATAATTCAATTGAATCGTGATTACGATTCCAATATAATAAATGATAACTATGGAATATTAGTGTTTGAACCTTTTTACATTATATATATATATATATATATATATATATATATATATAACACACTATACACTTCTCAAGGGGCTATATATATATATATATATATATATATATATATATAACACACCATACACTGCTCAAGGGCTATATATATATATATATATATATATATATATATATATATATAGATAGATAGATAGATGGATAGATAGATAGATATATGTGTGTGTGTGTGTGTATATATATATATATATATATATATACATATATATATACATAATATATATAGATATATATATGTACATAAATACATATATATATATATATATATATATATAAATATATATATACATATATATGTATATAAACTAACAAGCCACAGATAATACTCAAAAGTATATATATATATATATATATATATATGTGTGTGTGTGTGTGTATAGACTTGCACTGCTTAGGGACTCCGATCCATCTCTCAACTCTTAGTTTCATGTATACCATATTATATCTATATATATATATATATATATTTATTTATTATGATTATAATTATTATATATACAGTGTAACCCGGATATAAGAGACCCGGATATAAGAGAAACCCGGATATAAGAGAGATTTTCTCTGGTCCCAAATTAGAGCCTGTGTTAATGTATATAAAATAGACCAAACCCGGATATAAGAGAAACCCAGATATAAGAGACTTCTTCTCCGGTCCCGACAACTCTCTTATATCCGGGTTACACTGTATATCTGAATTTAACATAAAAATACTGATTAAAATCCGACGTAATATACAAATAAACCTTGTTTACTGTTTGTTTCATATTCTTTCATTTATTTGTGTCCGTTCTTGTGTGGGTGTTTTACTGTCTATAGCATTATGGGAATTACAACGCCCCCAATAAATATCGTTGTATTGATTTTCTTATCTGCATTCATTTGTCGCGTCTATAACTTTGAGAAGTCAGTAACATTCTTTTATTTTATATGGGCCATTGAACTCGATTTTCTTTACGTGGCATGCGCCTGAAGAAGGTTGCACACTCGATCGACCGAAACATTACAGCCAGACGAAAAGTGTGTTCTTGTTGCAATTTTATTTTATTTTTATTTACTTATTATCTTTCAGTTTTTTTTTTTTTTTAATCATTTTTCGTTTCTTTTTTTTTTTCTGTCGTGACAATCCGAATTTATGGAGGGATGTTCGAATATCTTTCAAGGTCCCTCCTACAGCGTAGGTGGATTTGCGACCGCCTTACATCTAAAATTACCTGAGGTGGGTGTACACTCTATATGTATAGTGACAAGTTTGGTTTGTGTTGCGTGCTTACCCTGTTGTAGTGTGTATGTGTGTGCGTCCGTGTGTATGTGCGTTTATGCGAGATGTGTGGGTGCTTTGTAAAAACTTAACGCCTAAATTAAAAACTTTCTCATGTTTTTCTTCCTTTCTTTTTTTCTTTGATTCATACTTTCTTTTTCTTTCTTGTAGTTTCTTTCTTCATGTTTACACTTTCTTTCTTTCTTTCTTTCTTTCTTTCTTTCTTTTCTTTAGGTTTTTTCTCTTTTTTCTTTCTTTCTTTCTTAAGGTTTACGCTTTCTTTCTTTCTTCCTTTCTCGAAGTTTCTTTCTTTATTCCTTCCTCTTTCTTTCTTTTTTTTCTTAGGGTTTCATTCTTCTTTAAGACTTACACCTTCTTTTTTTCTTTCTTGAGGTTTCTTTTTTTCTTATGTTTTAATCTTTCTTTATTTTTTCTTTCTTTCTTTCTTTCTTTCTTTCTTTCTTTCTTTCTTTCTTTCTTTCTTTCTAAGGCCAATACTTTTTCTTTCTTTCGTTCTCTCTGTATTCCATTCCTTCTATTCTCCCTTTCTTGATTACGGAAAATAAACGCATTCCAATGATTTCTTCTTCTTCTTCTTCTTCTTCTTCTTCTTCTTCTTCTTCTTCTTCTTCTTCTTCTCCCTCAGTTTTTAACTATCATTTTCACTTCTCTTCTCTATCTCACCCCCTACACACTCCTCTCACTCCCTCTAGAAATTCTTTGCCTTTCGTTTTCGCCTTCTAAGCCCCCACCCGGCTTAAATCTTCTTTACTTTCTTCCATTAAAATCCATTCTCTAAGTATTTCTGTTATTCCACAAACTGTTTTTCTTTAAGTGACCAATGATGCTATAAAGACTATGTTGCGCCAATCTCCTATGCATTGATAATCATTCAATATCCCTTCTTTTTATCTTGGCAACGGTATCGATCAATGCTACCAAATAGGAAATACTCATCTACTTCAGCCATAAACGGTCCAAGACATTTAGTAATCTAGTAGGGCACAAGGCCATATATTTGTAACAAAACGTGAGTATGATCAAATAGACTTATTTGCTAAATCATAAATTACCTTTAGTTCTTATTATTTCTCTACTCTTTATTTTCCCTTCTTTCAAATCCAACTTTCCTTCCTTTCTTCATTTTGATTCTAATTTCATTTTTCATTATTTCTTCTCTTACAATATTTTCATTCTGAAGTTTTTATTTCTACGAATGAGTTCAACTTTTCTCCTTTAATTTCTCTCTTTTCGTTTTTAATTAGACTTTTTTTTTCGTCCTTTATTTCTTAAGGTTCTTTCTTTCTTTCTGTTTTTTAAGGTTTTCCATTTTTTCTCATGATTACATTTTTTTCTTTCATTTTTTTATCGTATTGTTCCTCTCATTTTTTTCTTTTAATATCGGGCTACCAATAATTGTTCTTTCTTTCTTCTATCTTTTATTTTTAAGATTTCTTTCTTTTTTCTTTCTTTCTTTTCTTTACGTTAACTCTTTTTTCTTTCTTTCTTTCTTTCTTTCATTTTTTATCGCATTGTTTCTCTCATTTTTTTTTCTTTTACGTCAGGCTACCAATAGCCGTTCTTTCTTTCTTTTCTCTTTTAATTTAAAGATTTCTTTGTTTTTTCTTTCTTTTTTTTTCTTTACGTTAACTCTTTTTTTCTTTCTTTCATTTTTTATCTCATTCTTTCTTTCTTCTTTCTTTCTTATGATTTCTTTCTGTTTGTGTTAACTCTATTTCTTTTTAAGATTTATATTTTCTTGAGATTTCTTTCTTAAGCTTTCTATTCTGTTCTTTCTTTCTTCCTTTCTTTCTTTATTATGAAGATCTCTTCGTTCTCGTTTATTTTCTTCTTTTGCTTCTTTTTTCTTTTTCTTCTCTTTTTACTTTTTCTTTTATCTACATTTGCATTCTTTCCCTTTCTGAACAATTTAATAATAATAAAGAACTATATACACTCGCACTCCTACTACTACCTTCACTATAAAACTACGACCACCACCACCACTACCATTGTCACTACTACTACTAATAATAATAATAATACTAATACTAATACTACTACTAATAATAATAATAATAATTAGCATGATAATAATAATAATAATAATAATAATAATAATAATAATAATTAGCATGAGTTATTAACTACATTAGGAAAATTGATAATTCAAGGTAGTGCTGAAAAGTTCTCGGCCTATTTTACTTTCGAAAATAAGACTAAATGTTCAATAAGTCAAATATCACATTTTTTCTTCTTTTTTTCTTTTTTTTTCTTTTTGTTCTATGGTAGGGCCGAGAACTTTTCAACTGGTCTTCGTATGAATTTTTTTTTTAAATATGGAGAAAGGAGTTTCACACGATTATTATGTGAAATCCCTTTCACCATTTTTTTTTTTTTTTTTTTTTTTTTTAATAATTTGCCGAATTCCACCCAAAGTTGAATAATTATCGCGTAGAAGGAAGGGAGATGAAAAGCGAAGGAGAAAGAAAAAATGGAAAAGAAGGAAGAGAAGGCGAGAGCGGGGAAGAAAGAGGAGGTGGAGTGGGAGGGAATAGAGAAGGAGAAGGAAACGATTAGGCAAAAGAGAACGACAAGAAGTGAAGGGAAGAAGAAGAAGAAGAAGAAGAAGAAGAAGAAGAAGAAGAACAGAAAAAAAGAAAAGGATGAAAATGTGAAGGAATAAGAAACGAGAATAAAGGAAAAGGTAAATAAGAAAAAAAAGAATGAAAAGGAAATTGTCAATAAAATAACAAAAAGAAAAACAACGAAAGTAAGAAAGAGAAAGAAAGAGAGAAGAAGAAGAAGAAGAAGAACAGAAAAAAAGAAAAGGATGAAAATGTGAAGGAATAAGAAACGAGAATAAAGGAAAAGGTAAATAAGAAAGAAAGAATGAGAAAGAAAAAAATGAAATTGTCAATAAAATAACAAAAGAAAAACAACGAACAGTAAGAAAGAGAAAGAAAGAGAGAAGAAGAAGAAGAAGAAGAAGGAGGAGGAGGAGGAGGTGGAGGAAGTGAAGAAGAAGAAGAAGAAGAAGGAGGAGGAGGAGGAGGAGGAGGTGGAGGAAGTGAAGAAGAAGAAGAAGAAGAAGGAAGAGGAGGAGGAAGAAGTGAAGAAGAAAAAGAAGGAGGTGGATGAAGTGAAGAAGAAGAAGAAGAAGAAGAAAGGGTAGAAGAAAATGGCTGAAAGATAGAAAAGGGATGAAAACTAGTAAATTAGAAATAGAAAAAAGGAGATAAACAAGAGGTAAAGGAAGAAAAACAAGTGACAGAAAGGACGTGGGGAACGAAGGACGCAGAAAGAGAAGGAGAAGTGAAGTAGGAGGAAAGAGAGGAGGAGAATAAAAAGGAAGAGATAGAAATAGAGAAAGGGAATAGAACTAGAAAGAGAAGTAAAAAACGAAAAAGGGAGGAGAAGTAGGAGTAAAGGAGTGAATGAAGAAAAAGAAAGAGACAGAAAGGGTTAGAAATTAGAAAGAGAAAGAAAACAAACAATGAGAGAGAAAAAACGGAGAAAGAAAAAAAGGATAAAACAGATAGAAATGAAGAAAAGGGAAAAGGGCTGGGAAATTTGAAAAAGAAAGGAAAACAAAGAAAGGGAAAAAAGAGAGAACTACAAGTAAAGAAAGAAGGGAGGGGGAGAGTGGATAATGAAGTAGAGAAAAAAGAGAAAAGTTAGAAAGGTGGATGAGAAAGTGACAGAAAAAAAGAAAGAAAGTAAAAAAAAAAATGAGAAAATGGATAAACAAAGTGCTATTAACGATGAAAATACTTCTAAAATCTTCGAAGAAAAATCACCCTTTCAATTCTTTTTTTTTTTTTTTTTTTTACTTATTTATTTATTTATAAATCCGCTACTGTCTTTTACGTGTTTCCCGGAAAGTCTATTAAAATCCACTGATTTTTAACCTCCACCCCCACTCCATTCAGACACACGCCTATTTGTCTTGGATTCTCAAACTTCTCACCAATTCAAACGCGCGCACAAAATTTTTAATACATACCTTCACTTTTCTAAGCAATTTCGGGATCAGTCAAAGCCTGTAAACAAAAACCCCGCCTTTTATGTGTAGGTGTTTAGAAGCCCAAAAAAAAAAAAAGAAAAGAAAATGGGCTTCATTATATTTACATAATTATAAATATATATTTCCATACGCAGCAGTGTGTTCGCCCGCACCCGTTGCTGAGTTTTCGCGCGCGCGAATTGCTACTTAAAACTCACTGTCGGTCTCAACATTAAATAGTTCTACAAACAACGACTTCACTACTACGAATCAGTCGCAAACTCGCATTTTTAGAGGGCCTCTCTTTAACCATCAGCAAAAAATAAAAATAAAAAAAAAAAAAAAAAAAAACAAAACAAAAACACACGGGCACAAACACACGGGCGCGTGCACGCACACATACAGCACACGTACACACCCACATACACACATAAAAAATATCCGGACGTGCAGTAAAATTAACGCAGTAAAAACGACCAGGTCCGGTTTACTACCTACATATGTACAAACGTACCCAGTTGGCACGTTAGTGTTCGAGCAGGCTAGCTGACGGCCAAAACATTTCAGCTCAGTTTTGGGGCTTTTTTTTCGATTTACTGCGCGTCTTAAGCCAATCCATTCGTCCAGATCGAAACTCGTTGCGCAGAAGAACAATATTCGTGAAATATTTTTTTAAAAAAAGTTGAGAGTGTGATTCCAACAGGAAGAGAGAGAAAGTGTGCACTCGATTTTCGTAAATTTTTACGCGACCGTGTATTAAAAAGATAAAAACAAACAAAAGTAATTCCGAAGGTAAAACAGACTTCACATAATTAGCCGGGCTTGTTGACAACCGTCTCCCCTCTCTCACGCACACCCATAAACATGAACAACTATTAATTTTTATATATATATATATATCTGCTATCTCCACACATACATACTCTCTCTACAACTTTCTCAATATCTATCTCTATATATACACCTATAAACAAACACTAAACAACTAGACTAATCAGATATCTATATATATATAATTATAGAGAAAAATATTCTCATTTTCTCTCTGTCTGTCTGTCTGTCTGTCTGTCTCGCTCACTCTCTCTTTCTTTCCCGCGCTTGCACACGTGTGTGAGATGAAAATTTAGTTGCTTGATTCTCAATCTATACGTCTGTCCCGTGCTGTATAGAACTGGAAGGTTCGTTTCTCGCAGACAACCCAAGAGCAAGACAGAGTGATACGACAACAACAACAACAACAACAACAGCGGCATCATCGTCATCATCAGCATCATCATCTTCAGCAGCAGCAAGAACAACATCACCACTTGTACTACTCGTCAATTCCCTTTACCCCTCCCCACCGGCAGCGCATCTTTACCCTCAGTGGACGGGTTTTCAAGTCAAAATGGTCTACGGATACCTCCTACGAATCATGCTCGGCCTGCTCGTGTTAAATGCAGTGTGCAGTGTTCAAGAACACACGTACAGTAAGTATTCTATTGCATTCTATCACACACACACACACACACACCTATATATATATATATATATGTATGTATGTATGTATGTATGTATGTATGTGTGTGTGTGTGTGTGTGTGTATTAGGACTATGTACTTTCGCTCCCGGAAATTAAATAGCTCGTGCTGACCGGCTATTTAAATGTTGATTTTTTTTTTCCCAAAAAAACACCGACTCTTGTTCCAGATACTTCACCATTCCGTTTATTTTCTTTTTAAACTTTTGTTTTTTGTTTGTTTGTTTTTTGTTTTTTTTTCTTTTGCCACCTGCCCTTTTATTCCAGCCTGTCCGTTTGTTCCAACCCTCTTGTGTTCCGAAAACATTATGAATTTGTAATGGAATTTCCAACTAAGTCGTTTATTCCAACCTATTCTTTTATACTAGATTAATGATTAAAGGTTCACAGGGAAAAAACAATACAAAAAAGAAAAAAAAAAGAAAACGCTTCCTACATGTAAGCTGATTTTTCAGTAGTTTTGAAAAATGAACGCTGGGTACATTTGCACGCGCGTGCACACACACACACACACACACACACACAAATATATATATATATATATATATATATATATATATATATATATATATATATATATATAGGAGGAGACAAAAGGGAAAAAACTATTCTTAACCACTTTTTTCTATTGGTTCCTTATTTTGTTCCTTTACAGATACACTCTATCTGAAAATAATTTATATACACACACACACACACACACACACACACACACACACACACACACACACTGAATCACACACACACACATATATATATGTAACTTTCTTTCTATATACATATACACACACACGCAGATGAATATGAATATACATATATATATATGTGTGTGTGTGTGTGTGTGTGTTGAAATGTCCTATATTTATACGGAAGGAGTGCTCTGTTTCGGAGACAGTGTAGACATAGGCATAAATAGAGACTAGTGACTGCCAGTTTCACACTTCAAGCTATCTTCAGACTATATTTATATATATATATATGTATATATATGTGTGTGTGTGTGTGTGCATATTTATGTATGTTATGTAAGTTGGTGAACAAAAAACGAGAACGATTCAACCTCTTGAAAAAAACAAAAAGAAGCAAAGAAAACACGACAAAAACGCCGTAACGACAT